TCGGATATTCGAGGTTCTTCAGCAATAGATAAACACAGACGAGGAACGAAGCAGTAGTCACAATGGCGCGTGGTTAAATTTGCACAAATTCTGCTTAAAATTAGCCCAAAAGCGATACAAATCGGACTACGTTCATCGAAAAGCTCGTTGGTATAGATTGCTTATTAATTAGTCCGAGAATAACTTGAATTCCGCCGATTTCGGCTCATCACTTTAATCGTAAGAATCTCGGTGGTCTATTCATGCTGTAATTATAAGATAAGAGGAGGCTATAAGATAACACGATTATTTCTGGCTGGTAATATTTTTCCAAATTAAGCGAAGTAATTTAAACCATTGGGAATCATTTAAGATTCGAAAGTAAATTTTCTCTCCAAAGAAATTACCAAGTTAATCACTCGAAGGAAATATGTACGTTTAGATACATATATATAAATTAATTTATATTACACTATTATATACATTTATATGTACATTATATATGTAAATGTATTATATGTATATATACATACATTATATTATAATGTCACGAATGTGAACTAGTAGATTGTTTCATCACACTTGAAACTTTACCTTAAAGGCGACTTTACTTGCACGAATATGTTCAAAATGTTTGACATATGTTCAAAATATATTAAATATTAATCAATATTATCATGAAAATAGACAGTATACTGGAACTTCTGGAACCATTCTGGAACTTTCCTGGAACTTTTCTGGAACCTTTCTGGAACCATTCTGGAACTTTTCTGGAACTTTTCTGGAACCTTTCTGGAACCATTCTGGAACTTTTCTGGAACTTTCCTGGAACCTTTCTGTAACTTTCCTGGAACTTTCCTGGAACCTTTCTGGAACTTTCCTGGAACTTTCCTGGAACCTTTCTGGAACCATTCTGGAACTTTTCTGGAACTTTCCTGGAACCTTTCTGGAACTTTCCTGGAACTTTCCTGGAACCTTTCTGGAACCATTCTGGAACTATTCCGGAATTTTTTTGGAACTTTTCTGGCACCTTTCTGGAACCTTTCTGAGTCATATATCTTAGTCGTATTACAACAGCTGGTTTCTGTACGAATCCAATATTGTACTATTTCTTTCAAATCATCTTAAATTAGAAGCAATTAAATTTGCAACAGCGTGAGGCGGACGGTATTACAAGTCGCGTCGCGTCGGTTGTCTACATCTCGATCGACGTGTTATTCCGATATCTTCTCCAGTCAAATCATTATTCTCACGTTTAGTTTCAGTCGCTTCCACGATTATCTTAAAAATAGTTGATCAAACGCCGGCTTCTGGCCCGATGTAAATTTAACCGTGCGTCGCCGCATGCCGGAAGTTTCGTCGATTGTCGAGCAACGTGCGCGAGAACGATTTTCCGGGCGATGCGGTGGAGGACCCATATTTATAAGCCTGGCTGGAAGAGTTCGCAACGAGCGGTTGCTCAGTCGCGTGTTGGTTTAATGCTCTATAAATCGTGCCGCAAAGTGCTGGTCCGGCCAGAACATCCTGGATGTTGCGCGCCATGCCACCGTGAATGGTTCACCTTAGGAAAACGCGTGTACAACACACCACGAGCCCCGGTGAACCACGGTACGACCGTATGTGGCCGAAGGGTAGCTCGTTTTTGCGCGCACACGTGCCCGTGTCCTCTCCACTTCCGTAAAACTACGGGCACTCGCACACACACACACACACACACGTGCGCGCACACGCACACCGCCCCCGTTTGATCTATACGCGATGGCGAATGCATCTCACGTCGGTGAAGATATTCCGGCGAAAGTTATAGTTTTTCGGCCGGGGAAAATTTAACGTTAGTGTGCCCCGCAAGAGGGTTGCTCCACGATTTAAGGGGCTTGTAAATCTTCGGCCACGTCTCTACCCCCGACGCTACGTTTCCGGCGGTTTTCAGATTGCTGCCGGCTAATTTCCGATTAATTATTTCGCGGCAACCGTACATCGCCTTGGCCCCGGCAAACCGTTCGGAATTTATTTCATATTTTTCCAACGACGAATGTGTTGCGAGCGATTACGTATTTTTGGTTACTACCAGCTAAGCGGGAGATCGTAGACGGCTAAGAACCATTTCAATTCCTCGCTCCTAAATCCTGTACATACCTCGGAGTAGCTCGGGGTCTCGGTTGAGTTATCTCCCCGATTCTGGGTCAGCATCTATCTTTGATGTCTCTAGTATTTTCCACGGTGTAGAACGAAACTCTCGGCGTCGGTCGATCTAAATAAATTCGATGGGACTAGAAACGATTTTTATACAGCGTTACAGTGATGTCTCCCTTATTGACGTTCAGATTGTCCACAAAGATGGACAATTTGGGGAGAGGAGACACGATTATCCGAGCCCTGCGACTCGTTTTTACAATTGTTGATAATTTGTAACTATAAAAACACGCTGAAAGGCTCGAATAATCGTATCTCCTCTCCAAATTGTCCATTTTTCTGGACAATCTAGGCGTCAATTAGAGAGATATTACTGTACAGTAAATTCTCCCTAATTGACGCTCTGGTTTGGAAGCAAAAATGAACTTCTTTCGAGTCCTGCAGCTCGTTCTTACAGTTATTAACAATTCGTAACTATAAAAATGAACCGAAAGTCTCGAATAATCGTATCTACTCTTCCCAAATTGTCCATTCTTGTGGACAATCTAGGCGTCAATTAGAGAGACATTACTGTACAGTAAATTCTCCCTAATTGACGCTCTGGCTTGGAAACAAAAATGGACAATTTGGGAAGAAGAGATACGATCATTCGAGCCCTGGAGCTCATTCTTACAGTTATTAACAATTCGTAACTATAAAAATGAACTGAAAGGCTCGAATAGTCGTATCTACTCTTCCCAAATTGTCCACTTTTGTGGACAATCCAGGCGTCAATTAGAGAGACATTACTGCACAGTAAATTCTCCCTAATCGACGCTCTGGTTTGGAAACAAAAATGGACAATTTGGGAAGAAGAGAAACGATCATTCGAGCCCTGGAGCTCATTCTTACAGTTATTAACAATTCGTAACTATAAAAGTGAACCGAAAGGCTCTAATAATCGTATCTCCTTTTTCCAAATTGTCCATTTTTGTGGACAATCTAGGCGTCAAAGTAAATTCTCCCTAATTGACGCTCTGGCTTGGAAACAAAAATAGACAATTTGGGAAGAGGAGGTACGATATTCCAGTCTTGCGGCTCGTTTTCATTGTTGTTGACAATTGGAAATTATAAAAATGAACCGAAAGGCTCGAATAATAGTATCTACTCTTCCCAAATTGTCCATTTTTCTGGACAATCTGAGCGTCAATTAGAGAAACATTACTGTATACCGGTACAGAATTAGAGTGCTGAATCAAGACGATTTCAAAGCCGAGTAAACCGGGCCCGGATAATCGACTCGGGGCCCTTCGGTTAAAATTGTACGATCCACTGGATCTGCTTGCAAACGATAGGACACGCAGTTGCGCAAACTTTAGCCGGCCACGTGTGCCTCTGCGAATGTATGCACAGAGCCGCGCACGTCCACAAATTGACGTGTTCCCGCGTCTATGGTTCGATGATCGGGCACAGAGGAGGACTGCGCTGCGCGCTCGCACGCGCGCGCGCATCCCTCGGCGCACGTGCTCCGTGTAATATTTATGTGCTCAGGTGTGTGTATGTGGTTCCCCGTGTATTTACATCGCAGCCCGCGTAATTAATCCAGCACGAGGGCACGCGGCCGGAACGCACTAATTATCCACTTCTCGCGCGACCGCGCCGCGCCTACAGCCATCGAAGCAGACCCGGTCGCCACTGATCCGCGATGCAATCCTGCTAACAGAGAGGATCATCCTCGTCCGAGGACGATCACCGAGTTCCGAGAGGACACCTGAACGTCATCTGTGGGCGCGCTTCCCCAACAATCGCTCTAGCTAGCTGCAAGCGATTCTTTAACTCTAGATTTACGAAACCCGTGAAAATGAAGGGGCACTAATTTGTTAACCCTTTGCACTCGAAGCCATTTTAACTGTAAATCTACAATAATTTTTCTGACCCACGCTGTCTCTATTTCATATGACAGAGCGCATTTTACGCGTGTGAAATTCAATCTTGCTACTTATACAACAGTTATACTTATATTATAGTTATAGTAGTTATACTTATATTATAGTTATATAGTTATAGTAGTTATACTTATATTATAGTTATATAGTTGTAGTAGTTATAGTTATATAGTTATATAGTTATATAGTTGTATAGTTGTATAGTTATATAGTTATAGTAGTTATAGTTATATAATTATATAGTTATAGTAGTTATAGTAATAGTAGTTATAGAAGTTATAGTTATAGTAGTTATAGTTATATAGTTATATTTAACAATTTTTCAAATCTAAATTTTGTCGATGTAAGAATTATTTTACAATGTGATACAAACATTTGAAACAAAACATAGAAATCCTGCGATCAACTTTTTAGCCCGTTAATCTATTAACCTATTGACCGAGCAGACAAATGTAAACGGAAACGACGAGCTTTTTTTTCATCACAGAAATGTTTGAAAGCATCATCATTGCTCCAATTTCTCGGTTAACCGGTTAATTTCGACATTTTTTTCGCAGTGCCGCAATTTTCGAGGTATTCATCGTACAGAATGAAGTTCGAAAATTCCCTCTCTTTCCTAATGTTATGGTGAAATTCCGATATTTTCCATTTTCCTGCAAAATAATAGCAACCGTCCCGCCATTGTTCTCGGCCGAATCGGATGCGCCGTTGCCAATTATCGGTGAAAGGGTTAGGTACACGGCGGGGTCGAAGTCTACCGATAGAGCAGGAAGCTATTCTTCTTCCCGATGCGCTTCTTTCATCGGCCGATCGATGGTTTAAAGGCGGGATTTCCTATAAACGTCGGACGTGCGAGTTCGTCGCATGCGACCGGACGCAACGTCCGCACGCAGATGGTATTTTCTATTAGTGTCGGACGCGCGCGACCGGACGCACGCTTCGCATGTGATTTGTGTACGATGCGTTTATTATTCAGTATTGTACCGTCTATCGGATAGAACAGTGCGCGTGTGTGCACGCGGACGTGTATAGGGAAGGTTAAATTACTTTTCGAAATGGATCGAAAGTGCATTTTCGCTGCTGTTAAAAGCAGAAGATGACGAAGAAATTCTGTTTAGAATTTCTAACAAAATGAAAGAGAAAGAATGCTAAAGATGTACGGTGTGTCATGTAACTGGTGGTACAATGAGATAGGTGCTGTCATTTAGACGTCAAAAAGTAAGTCGGAAATATAGAATAAATATTTTTGATTAATTTTTAAGTTCACGAAAAAAGCGACTTTAACGCTAGATTTACGGAACCCGTCGAAATGACGGGTCGGTAATTTTTTAATTTACGATTATTCGTATCGTAAAGATACATTTATGAGTTATTTATTCAATTTATACAATTATATAATTATATAATTTTTATTATCATACATTTATATAATTATTAATTATTATGTTACAGTAACACTTATATAATAATACTTATATAATAATTGCTACTTACTTACATAATAATAATCATATATTTATATAATTATTAATTATTACGTTGCAATAACACTTATATAATATAATACTTATATAATAATTGCTACTTACTTACATAATAATAATCATATATTTATATAATTATTATATTTATATAATAATAATATACATTATTATATATAATATATATTATTATATATTATTATATATTTATATATAATAATATACATAATAATAATCATATATTTATATAATTATTAATTATTATGATACCATAACACTTGTTACAAATCAGAATAAACGTCTTATTGTTACTTTTATAAACTAATATAAAACAACTGTTTCTTGTGCTCCGTAAATCTAGTATTAAACACCTGCTCGATACACTTACACTCGACCAAATATTAACTCCACGGATATCATGCTTGAAAGCCGTTGCTGTATTTGTAAACATCGTCGGTGTTATCAGTTTTTCTATTACTCCTCGCAGCAACCTCCACACCAGTCGCCGATAGATTGTGATTTATGAGTCACGTTAAAAGTACATCGTGCATACTGATGAAATACCGAATATTGAACAGTTGAAGGAAAGAATTATCATGGCAATTTAGAAACTAAAATTGCGAAACAACACTTTAGGAAACGTGCGTTTCCTGAACGTGCGTATCGTGAACCAGCATTTTCATCGATATTTCCGTTGATAAAATTGATCTAAAATTCGATAAGCTCTATCTCGATTTTGTCGAAAACGATGTCCCTAATGAAAAAAGCTTATGCTATATTTTCGACTTTCTTTTCGACGTCGAATCCGGTTGTGCCACCAGTTACACGACACCCTTTATACGAAAGGGGTGAAGAGGATTATCGTAGCATTTCGATAAGAAAACACGAGGCCAACGAGGAGACGAATAAGCAGCTTTTTCAGACCGCGTAAGGAACAAGCGAATTCCGTCTTAACTCTTATTGGCGATCATTCTTCGGACATCCCTCTTCGACCGTGAACAGAGCGTCTGCTGCTCTCCCTTTTTTCTCTCTCGAGGCTCTCATAACAGAGTCGCGCTTATTAGAGAGTCCCGGCGTCTCTGCTAGAGCTAGTTATAATTCTCTGTTTTTTATTATACGAGAGAAATTCGAGCGCGTCTACGTCCGCCGAGGAGAGCAGGAGAGGAATGGGGCCGGGGTCCTCGGTTAAATCGCCCGATTCAGACTTTATGGCTGGTCTTAAAGCGGGCGTGCGAGCACGATTGATAGCGCGATGGGATTGATTCAAGGCTCGGCCGTGGGACCACGTGTTCGGAGACGCCTCGAACCTTACCTGATACTGTTTCACCGGTGAGTTATCGGCCCCGACCGATTCTTTACTGCTTATTGATTCCGAACAAACCGGCGAAAGCTGACTTCCGTGGATCCGGAACTCGTCGGCCACCCTCTCGATAATAACTCCGCAACTTTCTCTGGAAATCGTCCTCGGCTGCTCGACCCTTCGCGTTATCGGAACCGGATCATTCGATCTATGTACACTCGACTCGATCATTTTTTATTTCCCAGCCGCCCTCGCTGTTATCCCCGGCTCGCACAATATATTTACGTGGCTCTCGGGCTGCCGTAATCTTCAAAAATTGCTATAGGTCGCCCGTTGCTCTGCTTCCGCTACCTCGTACTTTCGTAGCCTTTCAGGATCATAAATAGGCACAGCGGATCTTCGATGTAAAAAGTCTTTTTCGTCGCTTGGAGAAGAGTCAGAAGTCGCTCGGCAAACTCATTGCTTCTTCGATAATTTCATCGAGCTGAAATATAATTTTGTAGCCGCGGTCTAATCATAAATGATTAGATTTAGGGTCGTTGTCTGGATTCGAACTTTTATTTCAATTCGAATCCTAAAAATTTGTCGTGAAATTAACGAATTCCGTGTAATCTAATCAGAATTAAGCTGTACGACGTACGTCATCTATTCGGTATTTTTACGTTTCGCGGTTAATAATCGAATTACGATGATAAACGCTATTTTTCACCGATCTTCCAAACGCGCCTTCTTCTATCAAATTAAATTTCGTAAACGGTATTATAAAAGCAGCTTTAATTGGGAAGAACCGATTAAAAAGTAATTTTCCGAAAGTAATTTTGAATCGAAATTTTTAATGGCGGAAATTTCTCCGGCTCTCCTGCTAAAAATAGCGTTGAACAAGACGAACTGATCGAAATCGATTATGCATGTCGCAGACGCAGACATTTAATTACCCTGGGTTTCGGTTGAACCTTCAAATCAGAACTGTGCGAAAAGTAATCTGATTAATGATTATCGATAACTGAAAGTTCGTTACATAAATCGTTATTAATTAGTTATAATAGCGAACGAGTTCCAATCGTTGATCATTTTAATCGGTAATTATATAATAATGATAATTTAATAATACTAATAATAATATTAATAATAATAATAATAATAATAATTAATAATAATAAGTAATAATAATTAATAATAATAATAATAAGTAATAATAATTAATAATAATAAGTAATAATAATTAATAATAATAAGTAATAATAATTAATAATAATAATAATAATAATAATAATAATGACTTTTTGCCCAACGCTGCCCCAAATTGTACTAAAAAATTCCAGACTCCGGCAGCAGAGATCTGCTCGAAATAGGATCGTTCGGCAGTGAGATATTAATCAAATTACGCGACTCGGTCGATGCTTCGAAAATGGAATCTGTAATCTTTGAAACCGAAGCGAGATCCGCGACGGTTTGGACAGTCCAAAGGACCGGGCAAAAGGCGTGCTAGCCTAATTGCAAGTCGAATCCGGCTGTCGTGATCGTTTCCTATCGAAATTCCCCGGCCGGAGCCGCGTTGCAGCGCGCCTTCTTATCCTCGGCAAACACAAAGAACAATTGAAAGCAAACCCTCCGCTGCCCCCTGATCATCCCGGAGAACAAACGTCTCGGACGGTACCTAAGGGCTCGCCCTTAACTTGCCGAAGAGACGATTCCTCTCCCGGAAGAAGTGCACGTATCAATAACACGACGCTGCACAGGAGGCGTGCGTCTTTCTGTCTCTAGTGGATGCAGTTTTGAGTGGCTACATAGAGAAAGAGAGAGAGAGAGAGAGAGAGAGAAACAGTTTCCCGCGGCGACGAAGGGGACGATAAAGAGGGCGACTCGACTTTGAGCTCCACTGACCCGTGTAACGTCCGTACGGCCTCCTCTATCTGTACTTTACAATCGAGGGTTTTATTGAAATCTCACCGCGCTCCCTATATAAACTCGAACAGACATTTTTATCCGGCGGATAAATTTCCCCGGCCCTCCCCGGGCCGCCCACGCGGACGATCACAGGCATCCTCTTCCGTCTGTTTCTCGGCTGGCCCCAGACTCCGGGAAGCGAGCCCACCGGCCAGGAATTATTGGCAAGATATGAAAGGACCGAAGTTATTGCTGATAGCAACCGAGCATACGCTCTCCGGAAGAGCATTGTGCCATCTCCCGTGGGCAATTCGTGCGAGCCGAGGATCTCTCCCCGCCAGAAACGATTCTTTCATTGTTTCGCGACCGCCCCCTTCCCCCTTAGGCTTATTCGATTGCACCTGTGGGCGGGACCCAAAACGACGGCCCTTCGCGGTCGTAGCGCCCTTCTCGGTCAGCCTAAATTGGGTTTAGATCTCGAGGATGATCGAGGATTAAACGGCCGGTTAATTTACAACGCTTCGAAGCGGCTCTCTCCTTCTCTCTCTCTCTCTCTCTCTCTCTCCTTCTCTCTCTCTCTCTCTCTCTCTCTTCCTCGCTCTCGCTTTGAAGCGAATTAACCAGGAGGATAAGATCTCTTTGATCTCGCGCCGATATTAAAGCGCGAAGCGAGACCTAATTATGATAATGGCGTCCTTAACGAGCGAATTAAGTTTGTTAAGAAATTGCAGAAACGTTACGGGAAGAAGCGTTACAGGCCACCTGCTCGATGTTTCGCGGGACTGCGGACGGGTCGCGATTTTCAGGGGAAAATTAACACTTGGAACGATGCATAATTTGACAGAGTAAACGCTGCATAATAAGTAGATTTTCCTAAAAAGTTGATCGCTATTATTTCATGCGATTTTTAGGGAAATCGGCGTTCCCGTGTTTCCATGTCTCTCTGCTATCTTTTAAAACTTTATGCAGCTCGGCACTTCGTACCATTTATTAACCCTTTGCACTCGAGTCGCGACTCTGTGGCGACGCTAAAAATTGCTGCGCTATTTTCAAAAGTATTTCTACGTTATTCCATTTGTCTGTATTCGATAATTTGTCGAATAATAGAAGGCTTCTACAAGCATACAATTTCAGCTTCATACGTAATCAAATAAGAACAATGTAATAAATGGAATTAGTTTAGGTTGAAACGAATGTTTTCATCTTGGAGTTAAAATAGTCTCGAGTGCAAAGTGTTAATACTTTTATATACGTTACATCCATCATGGAATGACGTTGATATGCAATATAATATTGACAATAATAAGTGATGTAACAACAATAGCAGTAATAATAATAATAATAAAATATTATTATTATATAATNCAATAGTACTAATAATAATAATAATAATAATAATAATAATAAATATAATATTGACAATAATAAGTGATGTAACAACAATAGCAGTAATAATAATAATAATAAAATATTATTATTATATAATAATATTATTATAATATAATATTATATATTATTATTATTATTATTATTATTATTATTATTATTAT